TATTTTGCGAAGATACTTGAAGAGATTTTTCCGCAATTTTTATTACCGCTATTACTTTTACCACCAAACGATATGGATAAACGGCGAATACGATAAATGTTTGTTCCAATAATTTAAGATTTATTTGGAACGTTTTTAGAGATTTTAGAATAGAATTTCGTCAGCCTAGGGATTCGAGGATTCATATTTAACAGATTCGTAAATTGGGGGGCGTCGCATTAATTTTGAAAAGATTTGTAGGAAGTTCTGGTAGGATATTATATTAGGAGATACGTAATATGTCACCGTTTTATTTATTTCATGAAAAAATACATTAATTGAAGTATTTGTATTCTCGGTAGCTACGACCATTTCCAATCTTTCTGGCAGAAGTTAGACTCCACGTCGCTAGGAAGGCTTGTTTTTCGAGTCAATCCATTCAGCAACCAATTGTTGTGTGTGACCCTCTCCATAGTTTGCGAAACGTGTATCCTCCAGATCGTGTTGCATTGAACGGAATAGATGATAATCCGACGAAGCTAAGTACAGTGAATACGTTGGATGCGGGTAAACCTCCCATACGAGCTACAACAGCTTTTCTGTTACATCTAAAGCAACTTGAAACCGAGCATCATCATGTAGAAGAATCATTTTTCGGTGATTTGATGCAACAGATGGTCGCTTTTCCGTCAAATTGGTATTCGAATGCTCATTGATTATTTTATTCGAATTCAACATCTCGTAATATACCGTATCTACCACATCTCATAAAAAACAAAAAGAAAGCTTTGGGTCCGTGGATATTTCGTTTTGAGTTTGATGTCGCTAATTGATCGGAATTCACCCATGATATTTTACGTTTTGACTTGTAGAAATAAATCCAGTTCTTATTTCCAGTTGAAATACGTCACTTAAATGTCTTCTTTTTTTGCCTCGCAAGCTAAGAAACGAAGATGTTCAAACAGTTGACAATGAAATTTTTAATCACCTTCCATTTGGATTGTTCTCATGTTGCAGAAATCGTGAATTTTCCAACATTAAGCTCTTTTGTCAATCTATTTAATGCTATTTTAAACTATTAATAACATCTAACTAAAATTTCTTTAATCATTCTAATGATTTGATATAACTCGCTATGTTTAATTAACTCCAACTAATGTAAGCTTCAAATGATTAATCGTTAAGAAGATAACCTAGTCCCGAAAAAAAAGAAGATTTCATCTCTACTTTTTGGCAGGAATAGACTGGTGATATTGCTGACGACGCTGGTATATGCCACGCCAACACATCGGATTAAGAGACTCTGTGGGAGTAAGTTAGAAAGAGAGAGAGAGAGAGAAAAAAAGAGATAAATAGGTAGAGAATCTCTGTAGGATGCGCAAAGTGCTTACGATACACCAGAGCTAGGGAGTTCCTCGATACGATGGGGACGGGGTAAGAGGGTCATGAATCACCCTGGAAACTGTAGAAGAGGGAGAGTCCGATGATAGGAGCGTTGTACTCCCTCTGTTAGTTCCCTCTTCGCTATTCTTGTGTCTTTCAGCAACGTATCCTATCTTGTCTTGTCCTGTACTCTACTCTACTATACTGTATTATACTATACTATACTATACTGTAATGTAGTATAGTATAGTATGCTGTACTGTACTATCTTGTCCTTGATTGCACCTCGCATCCACTTGGGTGAGCTGTTGCTTTGTACTGTCCATATCAATGTACAATGAGCTTCTTTGAACGGGTCAAAGGGTTGACTAAGGAACAGAGAATATGAAAGAGAAGCAACTAGATGAGTGTAGACACGTGGGTACGCGAGCGCTATATGTTCATCTTACCGATATAGAAAATGAAAATTCTAAATGGTACAAAGGTCCCCATGTGCAAAGCTTCAAGCAAAAAAATTACTGAATTTCACTGAATAATTTAACCTAGAACATGAACTAATGAGGTACTTATATATATGTGCTTATATATACGTGTGTTTATGATACGAATTTTTGATATTGGATTTATGCACAGACATATTCTAATTTAAAGTATTCGAAATATATTTCATTCGGGTAAATTTGATTTAACATAACACAACGCGATATACTTGAATGTTAAAATAACGATTGTGTGTATATAGTTGATTAAAGTCTCATAGATAAAAGTAGTACCGATAAATTCGTTCTTTCAAATACTTAACCCACTTTCGACTTTTAGAATCGAGCAGAGAACCGTAAAGGTTGTTGAAAAGAAGAGAGAGAGAGAGAAAAAAAAGAGGAAGATATAAAGAGAGAAAAAAATATGTAGTGCGATAGTATAAGAGAGAAAGAACGAAGTATCAGAAGCTACGAATCGGAAAGTTTGTCGATTCGAAATCAATACGTTGGGATGTGTTGTCTACAACAGTTGGTAGCAAGTATGTACGAAGAGTCAATGCGGTGCTGTCGTATCCCTAGAGACTGCTGAGCAAGCTGTACTGTTTCAATGCATTGCGGATTAGATCGTTGTAGGACTAGTCACTAAAGAGTAAGCGAGAAAGAGAAAGAGGGAGAAACATAGAATTATCATCCAAGATGTGCCAAGATGTGCTAACACATCTACATGCAATGCTAAAAGGAAGCTTAAATTATCTACATTCAAGTATAATGTTCATTCTTGGTATAAAGTTAATGAAAATTAGTATCGTCGATATGACTGCCCGATTAATTGTTTAACGTAGTAATTATTAGTGTAATTCTTTTTATGATAACTAATTAAGTTAATAGGGTATAACAGAGTTTAATCGTAATAACGCATATTATGTCAATCGATCGTTTAAAAATATATATATAATAGTTAATGTGTTTGTACGTTTTGAAGTTAAGTCAACATTTTGTGTTCCAATTTATCGATAGGGTAGGTTACCGATCGAGTAAGAAACTCGATGAGTAGAAAATGTAGAGACGCGCTGATCAGGTAGCGAGCTTAACATTATAATTCCTCTTTAATTGCTTGGATAACTGTTCGAAGCAACGATTATACGACAATTATCACACCGAATGATAAAATAAATACATCCGGTATTATGCGGTATGACAGAAGACAATAAAGTTATATTTACCGATGTACCGTATATTTTATTTTCTTTTTTCTAATTATAAGATAAACGACCAGAGATAACAAACAATTACGATCGCAATAAAGTAATAATTGTAACATCATAATACATTATAGAAACGATTAGAATGGAACGTATTACGTAAGCTCTAAACTCGAACGCGTATTTCAGCCTTGAATACGTGGAGTTTCCAAAGCTCCTCCGATAGATGTATGCATAATTTCTTTTCCGAACTACTAAATGTCACTTCTACTCTTACATATGTACGTTCCAACAAGTTACTCCAAAGTACTTGGCATAAATTAAATTCTCAGCGATGAGGATGTAATAATCACGGTGCTCACGTGAACATTTATATCTTTAAAAGGAAGCTCAAAAAATTAAAGACAAATTATCTTTTCGTTAAGAAGATAAAAACGAGTACGCGTTAACGTGTATGAAAGATAGATAAGAGTTCATAAATTTTTATATTAACATATCTGTAGGCGTAAAAAATGAAATAATGCATTTGATAACGATTTAAATGTTTTAACGGATTGAAGAAGAACAGCTGCGCCTAACTAATGTAAACACATAGGAAGTAGGAGTGTTGAAAAAAGAAAAAAAGAGAGAGAGAGAGAGAGGGAGAGAGAGAGAGTAAAAGGGAGTTAAGGTATAAACAGCAGGGTGACACGAAGGATGCTAGTCTTAGTTGGCGTGGGTCAGTAGAGAGAGGACAGGAAGGCCAGTCGGATATTCCACACTCCGAAATCGCGTGTTCGGAATGGTCGGCGCCACCCTAACGTGGCACGTGGGGTGCTACCAGGTGTTGCCTAGACTCGTCGGGTCGATGCCGATCGTTGGCGCATGTGCGACCACCGTGTTTCCTTTCCCCTCGCTCTTCAATCCTCATCATACGTACGTAGCTTTTGTCCCATGTGTGTAGTACGTATATGTACGTGGGGTGTGTATTTGTATTAATGTATATACGTGTAAGTACGACACACACAAACGCACTGGGAAAATAGTACTACTTACACGTATATTCATCAATGCTTACACACACACACATACAGAGATATATGTACGTGCACGCGTATATACAAAAGCACACACGTACTGTCATTTCCACTCTCGTCCACCTCAATTCTCTTGGTTTCTTTTTAACAGAGGGATAGACATCTACTCTTTCCTTGGTTTTACAGGCTGACTTGACGTTCTTATACTATCACTGCTCCCCGACTACCGTCAAACAACTCTATATTACTCGTACGCAGCCAATCTTCCATAAGGATTACCACCCGCGCACTCTACAGTTTACACGTCAGAGCTGAACCAAACCTAAGAACTCTGACGTTCTACTAAGCAGCTGTCACTTTTTTAGTTTCCTAATACCATCGGCTAAACAGCTAGCAGAGGTTGGTAATAGGTGGGATTGTTAAATCGATTTCAACTTTGCGTTACTGATTAAACTGATTAATCTCGAGCTGTCTAATATTCCTAAAAATTAATCAAAGAAGTTTATTCGGGGTTTTTCGATTTATAGTGATAAAAGAGAAAATCTTGAAAAAATGAAGTTTAGAATTGAATGTCAGTTAAATAGAGTCGGCACGCGGCTAGGGGTGAAGGGCGAAGAGGGAGGGGGGTGGCGACCCTTAGAATATACACCCATTGGCGCGTGACAGTGACGCAGCGATTCGGGTATCTACCCCCTATCACCTCCCTCCCCCTTACTACCTACCCCCGTTTTATAAACTTTCATCGTCGTGGTGAAAGAAAATTTATGATGGAAACGCGTGCCGAGTTCGGTGGCCTTCGAACCTCCATCTCACCTTTTGTTTAATATTTGAAAAGAAAAAATAAATCTTTTTCTAGATTGGTGGAAGAGTAAGTATGTAAATAAGTGTGTATATACAAATGACATGATCAGAGCGATCCCTCGATTAAAATGTTTTTTTATTTGATCCAACTACGTGTTACACAAATCCTCCTGGTTGAAGATCAAACGGAAATAAAAAGAGAAAGACAGACAGACAGACAGAGAAATAAAAGAGTTGAGGTATTCGCATGAGTCGCATGAAGAACTCTTTACGCCAGTGATGGCACACACGAGGATCGTTCCTGTTTTCTTTTTTGTTTCTCTCTTTCTCTCTCTCTCTCTCTCTTTCTTTTTATCTCCGTCCTTTTCTTTCTGGCGTGGAAGCGTGCCGGCTTTCTGCTAGCGAGTTATATTCAGCACACAGAGAGGTACACACGCAAACGGACTTCTGGGTTGCGTTGTCGTGCTCGCCCTCGTGCTTGTTGCAGGAATCGAAGAGCACTACCATATCGTGGCACCCTCGAGGGGTTGCGCAGACAAGCTCTTTCTCTTTCTCTTTACCCTCCTTTCCTCTTACTTTCTCTCTCTTTCTGTCTTTTTTTTCTTTCTAGCATGGATCAGCAGCAGTAGCAGCAGCAAAACCACTACCTCCTCCACTACCACCACTGGTACCACTACCATTACCCCTAACAACCACCACCAGTAGTATCAGCAGTAACGATAGGACGGACGATGGTGGCGCCCTCTCCCAACGTTCTCGACTTGATGGCAGCCGCAACGGAGGGACGACAGGGGTGCCGAACTAGTCGTCGTCTCTTCTTTCTCCCCGATTGCTAGAAGGAGAGAAAACGCTCGCGTGTTTCGGTGTAAGAAGGGTGGAAATAGTAGAAGAAGAGGAAGAAGAGGAAGAAGAAGAGGAAGAGGAAGAAGAAGGACGTGAATAAAGCGTGAGCTGGTGGAGGGGTGTATCTGGTAGGGGCGCAGTGCCAGACCGACAGTCGCACCCCGTCTTCGTCGTCGTCATATTCGAAGCCACCCCATATACTGTCGTTGCGCGTGTGACGGAGGACGTCACCAAAAGCAAAAGTAAAAGCAAAAGCAAAAGCAAAAGCAAGTTGGAACGAAGGAAGGAAAGAAGGAAGGTTGGAATGGATGGCTGGGATCGGTGCTAATCAGGGACGATATAGAAAGCATTGTAACGATTTAGTTAAACGTTCGGATAGTTTTCCGAAAGGGCGGGGGCGCGAGAAAGAGGGTGTTGGAGATAAATAGGGTAAGAGAGGGGGTGAGATAGAGAGTGAGAAGGAACGAGCTTGAGCTAGAGTTTCGGCTGGCATGGTGGCGGTGCATCCGGTTAAGGAGCTGCCCTCGCCGTGCCCATGACGAGGCTGCAGATCTTCCACCACCGTCAGGCAGAAAAGACGAAGCCGGTGTGGCCGGGAGCTTTGAGGAAGGCCCGCTCCGCCGTCATCCGCATCCGCGAGGTGCTCGACGACGACAAAGAGGACAAAGAGAAGAAAAAAAAGAAGTACGGGTTCGAAGGTCCTCGTCCTACGACGACAGCAGTGAGCGACGGACGGCCGCGACGGAGACGTCGGCGCCGTTACGACGACGTCGACGACGAGTTCTGCTGGGACGTTCCTGAAGACGGTGCCGTCGCCGAGATTGTCGTCGTCGAGCGTTTTCGCGGGTGCACTAGGAGGTGTTGCGTTTATTGTGGGTGCTGCTACGTTGGGTGCTGGTGTTGGGAATATTCGACGATTAATAATCATTCACTTATTTATTTTACCCCTCGTAATTCTCTTCTTCTTCTTCTTCTTCTTCTACTTCTTCTTCCTCTTCTTGACAAGAAGAAATCCGAACGAGGATTATTACAAGATTATTCATAATAACAACCAACCTCGTGGGCTTGAGCTGCCGCCTTTTCAATATGCCGCGTTGCCTCATGGCCAAGAAATGGAAGGCTTATCCCTGGCCCGATCGGCTCGATGATCCGCAACAGCAACAACACGAACAAAACGGCTCGGTCGGTATTGAACAGGAACACGTTAACAACAATACCAATAACGGACATGATCTTCAAAGAACAATTTCCAATTTGGTTATGGACAAGAAACATCACAGGCATCATCACGAGCCTGAGGATGAGGAGATCGACGTCGTTGGGGATACCGATAACAGGCAGGTCGATCATCAGCAAACCTGTTGGGGTCCACACAGTCCTACTGCTGGGACTACCGCGCCAAGTCCACCACCGTTGAATGCTTCTGGCGCTCTTTATTATCATGGTGAGACATTTCATTTCTCGCATTTTAATTAAAAATCAATGATTTATTTTCTAACCCCAACATTTTTAAACTAAATATACAATTCGAATTCCAAATTCCAAGGTTGTGCCATTCAAAAATAATGTGCCAAGTGTTTCGTGTAAATGAATAAATAAAGAATATAAAGTAGTTAGAGATAGATAAACAGATATACAAAGGCATTGAAGTAGAACCAGCATTGTTATCTATTTGGCGAAAGTTGCGCGAGCTCGACCGCCTGTTACGTAATTTCGATCGCTTTTCAGTCTTAACCGCTTCTCGGTTATGCTATATGTTATAACTTTGTTATGCCAATCGATATTCTTTAACCAAGCTATGCAAGAGCACAAATCATTAAAAAATATCTCCTAATCTATTTCCTTTCTTTCTTTCTATCTTTCTTTCATTCTTTCCATTTATTCTTTCTTCCTTTTCTAGCCTGTTTTTTCTTTTTTCTTCTTTTACATCTTTATCAATGCCACGCCCACGTTTCTATTTTTTTTTCTTTTTATCCGACTTATCATTGCGATTCTGGCTGGAATTTTCGTTTGTGCTGGACCCCTTTGTGTCGTCTTCGCTCATTTTTTCTTTCCTTTTTTTTTTCTTTTTTTTTATATTATTCTCCTTCTATTTTTTTTATTATTTTCTTCTTTTCACTCTCTCTTTCTCTCGAAAAAAGGGACTTTGAAATTCGTGGGTTGTTAGGACGAAGAGGAGAGAAGAGAAGAGAAGAGAAGAGCGGCTGTACGTGACACGCCCGCTGGGGTGGTTGTGCATGCTATAGAAAGATTGCAGTAGTGGACAGAAACTGTCGTAACAATGGCGTGATTCTCTTCCATGTAATGTTTCCCTTCCCTCCATCCCCCTCTTCTCTCATTCTCTCTCTCTCACACACACTCTCTTTCTCTTCCTAGTTCTATTTATTATCTCTCTTTATTTCTCCATCTCTTTATCCTTTTTAACTTATATTTAACTATAGATACATGTAATAATAAGGGTAGTACATATAGTATAAGAAGGTCATTACTAGCTAGCGTGCTATTGAAGGAATGCTCGTGGATAGTTCTCGATCGTCGTCAAGGATGATTCGACGAATTCTGGACATGCGTCGCACTCACACAAACGCATCGTCATCAACGTGGGGAGACACACCCGTTTTCGAGTTATTCCGTTAAGAGATTATCTTGAGATTTTCTGATATAACTACGTGTATTCCTTTAATTTAATCTCATTTCTTCATTATTTTTTTTGCTATTTTGACAAAAACACAGGTTGTCTCGTTTAAACATTATTTTTTTAATATCTCTTTCATTTTTATACTCTTGGATGGTATCATCAGCTGTTTACGATTGAGGCAAAGGAAAACTTTGATTTATTTGATTGATCAATTTTAGGAAATAATAAATAGAATTTTAATTGATCTAACCAATGTTATCTTATCGTAATCATCTTTTATTTTATCTAGATAATATGAGAGATAGTTTGAGAAATTGTGTGATGTACATCTACTTTCATAACACTGACACATATTTCGTTGGAATTTCATAATCCCGTTTCATTGAATCTAAGAACACTGTATATTATCGTCAGTAATCATTCTAATGATCAATTATTAAGAAATTAGAAAAGTTTTCATCGTTTTGTTTATTTCAATAACAAATTGTGAATAAATACAATAATCAAAATATTTACTCTCGGTAACTACGACCATTTCTCATCTTCTTCTGGCAAAAATTGGATTCCACGTCGATAAAATCGCTTGTTTTTCGAGTCAATCCATTCAGCAACAAATTGTTGTGTGTGAACTTCTCCATAATTTGCAAAACGTGTATCTTCTTGATCGTGTTGCATTGAACGGAATAGATGATAATCCGACGGAGCCAAATACAGTGAATACATTGGATGCGGGAAAACATCCCATACGAGCTACAACAGCTTTTCTTTTACATTCGAAGCAACTTGAAACCGAGCATCATCATGTAGAAGAATCATTTTTCGGTGATTTGATGCAACAGATGGTCGCTTTTCCGTCAAATTGGTATTTGAATGTTCTAATTGATTACAATAACGTTAAGCATTGATTATTTTATTTGAATTCAACATCTCATAATATATTCTACTTACCATATCTCACCAAAAACAAAAAGAAAGCTTTGGGTCCGTGGATATTTATAAAATGTCTTCTTTTTTTGCCTTGCGAGCTAAAAAACGAAGATGTTCAAACGGTTGACAATGAAATTTTTGATCATTTCATTGAACAATCATTTCTCTACCTTTTGGATTGTTTATGTGACATGTAAGCGTACAAAAATAGTGTCTGATTCTAAGCTGTTGAGCAAGTTGTTTCAGTGTTTGCACTGAATTTTAAATCGAAAGAGCTTGCAATCTCTGATCTTCCAATTTTACCATGACCCTTGATAATTGTTATTGCAATCACCGTTTTAGAATGATTCAAAGTCACCGTCTACATGTTTTGTATGATTGATTCAAGTAACCAGTTTCTGCAAGCAATCGATGACCCATTCAGCTGCATTTTTTTTGTATTTAAAATAACGAAGAGGTGTGTGTACATCGGGAGAAACAACTTGTTGCGATCAATTTTTATTTCGATTAAAAAATGTGTCAACGTGTAAACGAATAATGACGTCTGTTTATTAAATTTTCTTGAAATATATTGAACCATCAAATTGATTCAGATCGCAGTTATTCGTGCTATCTAAAATTATGAATAGAAATAATCCACATATATACGAGGATTACAAATTTAACGAATCTACTAATCATCAATTCCTTTTAAATTCCTCAACATTTTAATTACTTTTATTCAAATCGATCGAATTATTTAAATATTACATTACCTTCTTTAAGGCAAATCAATTTTATCCTGAATCCATTTCCCAAATAGAAAAACTTTTATCAAAAACCCCAAAAGTTTTCTTTTCAAACTTCAATTACGGTCTAACGCGATAAAAATCTCACGTGGGCTATGGATCATTGATAACTACAAACATTCACTTTTATTTCTCAAGTGTTCGGTTACTTGAAATTTGACCGGGAGGATCTATTTCTAAAAGGGTACTCCTCTCTGATCTTTTTCTAATTCTCGACCATTACATACTACTCTATCTACCTACCTACCTTCTTCTTTTTTTATGTTACTCATCCAAAAAGAAAAAAAGGGAAAGACAAAAAAAAAATCGGATTTCCATCGTTCGGATAAATTCAAGTGAACAGACCGGTGCGCACGAAGTGTTCATCCGATATTATCGATTCCGTCCCTTTCTCTGCTTCTCTCGGCTTCTGTATTCTTCTCCCTCTCTCTCTCTCTCTCTCTCTCTCTCTCTCTCTCTTCCCTCTCCCCTTTCTCTCACTCTCTCTCACTCTCTCAAACTCACCCCTTTTTATCCCTTCTCCTGAATCCTATATCCCCCGCTCTTTGCCGTTGTTCTCACCTAACCCCCTTCCTCCTCCCCATACTTATTCTTCTCTCATTCTACTTCTCTCTCCTCTCTCTCTCTCTCTCTCTCTCTCTCTCATTCTTACCCTCTCTTTCTTTCATAGTCTCTCTTACTTTCTTTCTCTCTCTCTCTTTTACTCTCTCCAATTGTTCCTATATTTTTCTTTCCTTTTTTTACTCTCACCAACATATCTTCTATCTCTCTTACTCTTTTACTGTTTCTCTTTCTCTCTCTCTCTCTCTCTCTCTCTCTCTCTCTCTCTCATTCTTTTTTCGCAGGCTCGTTGATGAAACGTAGGTACTTCCAGACACGGCCACTGTCTTCTCTGGATATTGACTTCCTTTTATTCCAACCAATAATAGATGCGCGCCCGCTGATCGATCGGCAACATACTTTTCTGATTTATTGCTATCGTGTGCCTTCCCACGAACTCGTCGTGCCGATACATCCTTTCCCCCTCCCCTTCACCCGGCCACGGTCCCCTTCCTGCCTCTTACCACCCAACCTACCCCTATTCCTCTTCGTCTTTTTCTTCTTCTTTTTCTTCTTTTTTTTACCTCTATTGCTACCCTTATCCAAACGAGTCATTCCTTTGCGATATTTTTGCGTGTTATTTTCGTTCTCTTTTATGGCTTTCTCTCTCTCTCTCTCTCTCTTTTTATTTATCTTTGTCTGTAAAATCTTTTTTATCGCTTAGGGACTTACCTTTACCTTTTTGTTATTTTTGTTTGTTTGTTTGTTTGATAGAACTTTCGGGCAAAATCTCGATCATTAAGACAACAACGATCGATCAAGTTACCCTTAACGAGCGGTTTTACGTCGAACATACACTAATTTATCGTCCCTTTTTATTCTCGTGGTATTACCAGTATCGATCCTTGGCCATGATAGACATCGAAATTCGTAGGTTTTTATCGTGATAGAAATTGATAAGGTATTCGAAGACGAATTAAATGAAATTGTCGATGAAAATATTGTTAGAAAAATAATGCCTGAGGTTTGAAACAAAATTAGAACAGAGAAAGAAAGAGAATGAAAAAAATGAAAGAAATATTTATAATTACATGTTACATATCTGCTACCAGTTGCAAACCCTAATTCAAGTATGTCTACGTTTCCTCGATATTTCACCCTTCTCTCCCCCTCGTTTTGAGGTCCCTCGGTATTACCCGGTAATGGTAGCACATGGAGGAAACAGCTGGCGCATGCGACAGGCAGGAAATGAAATGCTGCTCCGTTGAAGAATGATTCAGTGGCTCAAATATTCATGTCACCCTCTTTACCGTTTACTTGATACACTTTAGAGGTTTTTGCGCTTGCGCTTACCTTGGATCAACGTTCCCTTAATCCCCGATCACTTTTTTTTATTTTCTTTTTGTTTGCCATATATAATCCTCGATTTATTCTATTCCCACATAAAGGGGTGAATTTTAATAGTATATTAATCGTACATTGTTTCGCGTGTTTTTTTTATTATTTTAGGTTACACGCACGAAGCATGGATCAGTCACGAAGAGCCGCCAAAATATGCAACATTACGATCAGCTGCGGAATTGGCACAACCAGTGGTACCCTCGCCACCCCCACAGGATATACCACCAGTTGTCTCAAGCGACGGTGCGTCCTTGCAACCAGCACCAACGCCCACCGTTACTTCGACCACCCTCAGTTTACCACCAAGAAAAAGCTTATCCATGTGTTTTACCAGCACCGGCACCGCATTATCCTTACCACCTAAGAAGAAGGACATATATCGGCCCTATAGTCTTCAACCAACTACCGAAATCCGTACTTCAGCCGAGGAAGATTTATCAGCGGCACAGGCCATCCTCGATTTGAGTGCCTCGCCAGCAGCACCCACGCATTCAGTTTTTATCCATACTCTCTCGGCACCTCAGCCAACTCAAGCACAACCCAACGTTGCCACCGTTGTGCAATTGCAACAACCAACACCACCGCCACCACCACCACCTCAACAACAACAACAACAGCAACAACAACAACAACAACCGACGCAACAATTACAAAGACCACCATCGCCCCATCCAATACCAGTTTCCGTTTTGGTACCAGTACCCACCTCTCAAAACGCCCAGCTTCGTCAGCAAGAACATGCGCCACCTCAGCCTCAATCTCCGGCCACTGCGGAAGGCAACGTTTCTGGAAATTGTAACGGAAGGGACGGGTGAGTGATCTTATCTTTAAGATAATGTCTTCCTTTAGCCAAACTCTCCGCTGATATTCCGCTTTAACACCTTGTACCCATATACAGTGACCTATTTTAATCTTTACGTGTTAACATCGATATTATTGATAATCGTGACAAAATATTCATGTATTTTTCATTCTAACGCTTGATTCTATTAATGTGATAAATTCAATCATTTAAAATGGGACACTTTCCACGTAATATATAATACGATAGATTCTTGATACAAATAATCCCGAGAATAATCTAAACACACAGACACACATTGGACTGATACATTTAATATTAATTATATGTACAATAATCGATATGATTTATTTGAATTTAGATAGAAAACAATTAGCGAGTGTTTAATGTAAGGAAAATAATCCACAGTAACGGTAACGGAGCCAGCAAAACGGTCGCCTACACCTACGAGGCCTTCTTCGTATCCGATGGCCGTTCGAAACGTCGGGGGAGTAATAACGGTGCTGTAGTGCCTGACAAGGAAGCCGTTCAACCGGACAGGCCCAAGTTCACATGCACCGAATGCGGCAAACAATACGCTACCTCGTCGAATTTATCGCGGCACAAGCAAACCCATCGGAGTTTGGATTCTCAATCGGCAAAGAAATGCATTCACTGCGGCAAGGCGTACGTCAGCATGCCGGCTTTGGCGATGCACGTGCTAACGCACAAGCTCGCCCACAGTTGTGGTGTTTGCGGCAAAATGTTCTCAAGACCTTGGCTACTTCAGGGTCATCTGCGTAGCCATACCGGGGAGAAACCTTATGGATGCGCTCATTGCGGCAAGGCCTTTGCCGATCGTTCCAATCTGCGCGCGCACATGCAAACTCATTCGGCTGATAAGAATTACGAGTGCTCCAGATGCCACAAAACCTTTGCACTCAAATCCTATCTCAACAAACATCTCGAATCTGCCTGTCTTCGTGATGAAGATGTACAACAACAGCAACAACAACACCAGCAGCAGCATTGTACCAACGGATCTCAACAACAACAACAACAGCAGCAGCAGCAACATCAACAGAGCCCAAATCGAGGCTTGTAGCAGCGTTACGAGAAATTCAACAGACTCGAAGGCTGCGTCATTGCAAACGCTCTCAGAGAAAGCTAGCGGCTTCTCGTAGTAGCTACGTAAATGACAAAGAAGAGGGAGCAATAGAGAAAGAAAGAAAATAAAAGATAGAAAGAGAAAGAGAAAAAGAAAGAGAGAGAGCACCGAAGACCGGTCGATCTTAAAAAAGGTTTGCCGTAGATATTAAGTAGTAAAGTGCCAGTGAAGAGGAAGATATGAAAGACGGTAGGTAATGATGATAAGGAAGAAAGAATGATGACACATAGTCGGTGATCAATGATGTCTAACATTTATAAAAACGTCCAGTAATATTTAAGTCTATAAAAGAAACAAAGAGAACAAAAGAAGAATAATAATTCAAGATTAAACATGCATACATTGTATTATATATACATATGTACATGAATACGTACATACTTACACATACATATATACACATAACATATATATATATATATATATACAAACACATACACATACGTCGAACGATTGACGTCCACACTGCATTCTAGTCACTCTAGTCGGTTATACCTAATTACATATTATACGATATTATATATTATTATATTACATTATATAATATATATATATATATAGTATATATATATTTACTAGCGCGTACGATACTAGTCGCGAGCTCGTTAACGAAGGCACTATGATAACTTACAACAATTAGATGAATTTGAATCTCGAAAAAGGGATTCGAATCGAAACACCATATATACATAATATAATATAAATAATATAAGTCTCTCGCGAAAAGAAAAATTTTTTTGTTTATTTTTTTTATATTTAAAATTTTTTTTTTCTAAATACAAGATGGTAGCAACGATGACGCGTATATCGCGAAAATTTCGCGAATTCGCAAGAGAATGTTTTTTTTTTTTCTAAGAAAATAATTATTAAGGGACTCACGGTCTTCGGACTAATGCTACAATTATTATTATAATGATATTATCGAAAAGAAATTTTCTTGATAGGAATTTCGTCATGGAAGATAATTTATTTTTTAAGTATACTCGCTAATGATTTTTTTTAAAAAAAAAAAAGAATGTCATCGTCGAGTGGGTAACGTCTATTTACGTGTCGAAGTATGAATTAATTATATTTACATTTATAGTTGGTTCCATTTGATTTATTAAAAAAAAACAATAGAATAAAAACAATGAAAATATTATTAATGAAAGAAAATAAGTGAAATCAAAATTGAGTTATACAAAATTATGAAGAAGAAAATAAAAAATAATTTGTATGATGCAAATAATTTGTTCGCATATTATACATATACGTTAAATATATATATATATATATATATATATATTATTTGAGTTGAGATCGATCGGATTAAAATAAAATAGAACCAACGATACATGTATATGTATTAAACTCGTACATTAGAACGATTTCAAGAGGCAATTATGCTGTGCATTACCGGAATGCGTTTATTATAACATAATCGTTTATAGTATTTTCTTTTATTACGCGCTTTCGCGTAATAGTATTATCATTATTATTATTACTATTCTTCTTTTTATTATTATTATTATTATTATTATTCGAACAAGTAAAGATAATTCGATTCGTTGCGAATGTAAATCGGTATATAGACGATTACGAATTTTATTTTTTGTTTTTTAATTTTTTTATTCTCGTTTTGATTTTTTATTCTCAAATCCTTAACGTGTTTCTATAAACGTATTGTATGTACTATACTTTTTCTATAATTGTAGAGTATGGTTATATTCTCTTCTTCGGTTACATGATTTCGGTCTTTTGCGCATGCACAAACTCACGAACGTGCAAATACAGTTTTACAGAGAGAAAGAGAGAGAGAGAGAGAGAGAGAGAGTGAGAGAAAGAGAGGAAAAAGTAGTACGTGGCAATTCACAAGATACAATTATATCTATGAATTTCGTGTTGATCGGTCAGCAATACTTATTATTTACCGTGAATAAGTATTAAAAAGGAAAAGAAAAAGCATTTTTTTGTAGAAACGATAACAACTTATTAGGTTATTATTTCTTTTTCTTTTTTCATCGCGTGAAAGATAAATAATACGAATGGAACAAAAGTATTTATAAGTGGCTAGTATGTTCCTACGTTCTCACACGTATGACACATTTTCTTTATTAGGTATATTAACAGTTTTATTTTTGTTTCTTTTCGTTACGTGGGAACAAAAACGTGCGAATGGAACGAAAATATATATTAACGACGAATCGCGAGGGTCCGGGTGGTTTGTTGGAGGATGTTTGGGTTCTCACACTCTTGTGATACATTTCTTTTTTATATTCAATTGATTAACAATTTATTTATTTTATTTATTTTATTTATTTATTCATTCATTGATGAATGAGGGTAGGATGCGTTCTAACACTCCTGTAACAATTTTTCTTTTTCATTCAATTATTTATTAACAAGTAATTTATTTGTTGTGTTTATTTTTTTTAAAATATTTTTTTATTGTTATGTGAACAAGAAATCGTGTTAATGGAACGAAATAGTAATTATATATGCGACTAATACAAGTACACGCGTGACACATTTTCTTTATTCGATATATATATTAGGAATTATTTTTCTTTTTTTATTTATATATTTATTTTTTTTTCTTTTCTTTTCTTATTACTATCCGACACGCATAGTAGATTAAGATACAATCGTATCTTTAGAATTGACTTTGTATATATATTATACACGCTTAAGCATGAACACGTACACACACGTATTTACATACACGTATCTCACGTGTCGTAATTTAGTGGCAAGAAAGAAAAAGAGAGAAAGAGAGAGAGAGAAAGAGAGAGAGAGAGAGAGTGAGAATGAGAGAGAATAAAAAAAAAAAAAATATCTAACTAAACTAAAAGTAAACTAAAAGTAAACTAAAACCTAAAACTTATACTAAACTAAAAGTAAAAGTAAACTAAACTAAACACGAAAAATAAATAGATACGTAACGTTGGTATACACGTATTTTATAGAGGCAATATTAAAAAGAAAAAAAAGGGAAAAACGAGGAAAAAGATATAAAAAAAAAAAAAACGTAATTATAAAATGATTATTAACAAAAATAAAAAAAAAAGAGTATGAATCTCTATGACGACACGTACGGGGTCAAAAAAAGCAATGTTTCGAAACAACGAACTATATACATTTATAGGCGAACATCGAAGTTTAACGAAACCCGCTATTATTATTATTATTAATTAATATTCTTTCGCTTCGGCAATAGCGACCGATCGTCCCGCCACACCCTTTACAAATTACTCAATTATATATGTATATTTATACATTCATTCTCGTATATGTATGCATACATATAATTCATAAATCATTTTCGCTTTGGTATCGTTAAAAAAGAAAAGAAAAAAACAAAAGAAGATCAGAAAAGAGAAACGTCAATTTGAAATCACGAATCGATTCTTCATTGACGAGAAGAATTTGAATTAATTTATAAATACTGCCTTTGTGTGTTGCATCGACGAGCAGTCACATTCTGAAAATGATTTTCTACAAATTTTTGGTGTTTTTACGAGAAAAACGATGGAACGAGAATGAAGATAAAAACGAGATTAATTAAATTACAACAAAAAGAAATGATTTTGAGCAGAGTGCAATCGAGAATCGATCAGTAAAATGAAAATATTCTTTTCAACGATGCGTTCTGAAAGAATCAACGAGACAATTTTTAAAAAAGAATTATTATCGTGGTAAACAAAAGAAAAACAAAAAAGGATTACTTGGAGAAAAAAAAGTAACACGAAATTAATTAATTTATTTTTGTTTTTTTCTCACATCGACAAGCATTATTTCGTGAATGATTGTTATTAATATTCTTTTTTAAATCGTAGACGAGAAATTAAGGTAAAATTATTTCGGTATTTCGTCGGCAACGAATTCCCAAAGAAAAAAAATAATTGAGAAAGGGATGGGTTTGATGAGGAAGGGAGAGTGGGGTGGGATGGAAAGAGAAAGAGAAAGAGAAAAAAAGAACAATGGCGCGTTATTAAAAAGAGAGCTTGTGCCACGCGCGACGTAATTAATGCGCGTGCCAACCACGCAAAAGCTCGACTTGCTTGGTTCCTTCGCTCGTTGACCCACATTTTCGCGGCAAACACTTCGATTAATCTTAAATCTTAAATAAGACAAAAATCCTCGCTCTCTTTCTTTCGAACTTCACAAAATTCGCGATATCTATTTTTTTTTTTTCGATTGGAAAAAATAAAAACAAAAGGATGAAAAGAATGGATTGGAAAAAACATAAACGAATTTTGGTAAATTAATTTTCAAAAATTTTCCGCTAATTTTTTTTGCTAACGCGCTCGGAAAAAAGAATTATTATATTTGTTATTATTATTTTTCTTTCTTGTGTTTTGTAATGGAAATAGAAAGAAATAAGAAAAAAAAAAAACGTGTATTCGTCCGTCGCCATTTTATCTTAACGATCGGCAAGAAAATTAAATCGGATGACTCGTAAAATTTGATAATAAAACAGAAAGATCGTACTTTATTTTTTTCTTTTTTTTTTTTTTAAGATTTCGAAATAAAGAAATAATTTTGTTGAGAAAGTTTTTAAATTTACCGCCACTATTAATCGATGATTTTAATCGATTGATTTTTCAATTTGTTTTCAAAAGATAAGAATAACGGAAAGGATAATGAAAAATGAAACGTAAACAACGAACAATGAATAACGAGATTAAAAGAAAAAAAAAAATGAGGCAACGAATGGAAAGTTAGGATAAATAAATTAAATGAATAAAAAAAATGAAGAAAATTTTTCGAACAATTAGAACGCGTAGAATTTCGTTAGAGTAAGAGTAAAAAAAAAAAAGAAGGGTGTGGCTATGGCCTGTGGCTAAAAATGAAAGAAAATAAACGTAAAGTAAATAAAAAGTAGAAAGAGAAAAAAGAAAAGAAAAGAAACCCTGAAAAATTTGTCAAAGTCAATCGATGATCGTTGTTTTAGCCCCACGTCTAATTTGGCGACGATCGTCTTGAGAATAATTTTCTAATAATAAAATAATAATACTAATAATAATAATTATTATAATATAATTATAAAAATAATAATAATAATAATAATAATAATAATTATAATTATAACTGTAATAATTAATCGAATCGCGTCGCATACGGTCATCCGTCATCTTCATGGAAGCCATCGCGAGAAAGAGAAGGACCGGGTTGTATGTACGATCACGAAGGAAAAATATTAACTAATATTTTCTCGATCATATTTGATGAACGAAGAAAATATATATTACAAATAAAAAAAAAAAAGAAAGAAATAGATTAATAAAAAAGTAAAGAAAATATAAAATGAAAATACGAACGAGTTTCGAACGATCGGTTTTTT